AGCAAGGAAGGCACGTCGAAAGTCAAGGCTGGTCAAAAACTCAGCCTCTTGCCGGAACTCCTGGATAGTGGCAAGACTGAGATTTATGCCTTGACAGGTGGACAGACCAACAAGGCACTAACTGTGTGTATCAGCTAACTGTCCAGCTTCTTGATGCCAACCAGGCCATCCTCGACCATTTCTCTCCTAAACCTTATCCCACCCAGCAGTGTAGAAACAATGTCATCTTTGAGGTGAGCCATGTGTTCTCCAACCTCAAGACGAGCTTTGTGTCTTCTTAAACACTGGATCTGGGACATGGAGCTCTGCTCCGAACATTAGGCAATCTATCTACCCAACTCCAGGGTGTTCGTGCAGGTCTGTCTGTCCTAGTGAAAGGGCTATCCTTGCAAAACAACCTGACTGTGCCTTCCAGGAGCTGAGACCGTTGGCTGGAACATCTTGTTAATCAAGGGCTTGTAGCTCCCTGGCATCCTGGAGTGTCCTGAGTCCAGCTGAGGGTCCTACTGGGCCCTGCCTTCAGGTTCTGGAAGCCACCAGAAGTGAGTTCCTACATCCAGTTTTACCTGCTGCTGCTGTTCTGTTCTAAGGTGCCCTTATTCTTCTGAGTGGAGACCCCAGGGAAATGCTGGAACAGGAGAGGACTCCTCACCCCCTCTTGGAGGTCCCTCTGGTTCAGCCCCAATCCCCTCTGCTCTTGTCTCCTCTGTTTCTGCTCAAGAGGCTTTATCGGTGCATTCCAGGAAGACTTCTCCTCACCTCTGACTGGAACCTCACATCCCTACGGCTGAGAGAATTCCAGCCCCATTGGCTGGTGAACTTAACCTCCTGAGGTTTCAGACTGGGACAAGGACTCACAGCCAAAAGTCAACTACGTCAAAACAAGTTTGGAGACAGACATTTCTGCCCACTCTGTGAAAAATGAAGTGGTCCCCTGAGCCTAACTGTACCACAAATGTTATGCTGTGTATAATTCATTTTGTTATTTTGAAATTCTTTTAAAACTTGGAGAGAATAAGTCAGCAATCTGTCTGCCAATCATATGCAATAAATGTATTATTTTGCCAAAAACAAACAAACAGACAAAAAAACCTCAGCCTCTTTCATCAAACAGTTAGCTACGTTGTGAATGCAAAGGGAATGTGCTTGAAGGAAATTAAAAGTGCTGCTCCAGTGAACACATGACTGATAAGAAAGTAAAACAGCCTTGTGACTGACATGGAGAAAGTCTGAATGGTCTGGAGAGATGATCAAACCAGCCACAATGTTCCCTTAAACCAAAACCTAATTCAGAGTCAGGCCCTAACTCTCTTCAATTCTGTGAAGACTCAGAGGTGAGGATGCTGTAGAAGAAAAGTCTGAAGCTGGCAGAAGTTGGTTCATGAGGTTTAAAGAAAGAAGCCATCTCCATAACATAAAAGTGCAAAGTGAAGCAGCCAGTGCTGATGTAGAAGCTGCAGCAAGTTAACCAGAAGATCTAGCTGAGGTCATTAATGAAGGTGGTTACACTAAACAGCAGGTTTTCAATGTAGACAAAACAGCCTTACACTGAAAGAAGATGCCCTCTAGGACTTTCATAGCTAGAGTGGAGAAGTCAGTGCCTGGCTTCAGAGCTTCAAAGGACAGACTGATTCTCTTGTTAGGGGCTAATGCTCATTCACCATTCCAAAACTCCTAGGACCTTTAAGAATTATGCTAAAACCCAATACATGTATGTATACTGTGGGACATTGTGCTGTACACATGAAATTGACACATTGTAACTGACTTTACTTCAATTAAAAAAAAAATCATCCTAAATCTACTTGCGCTCTGTAAATGGAACAACAAAACCTGGATGAGAGCACATCTGTTTACAACATGTTTTACTGAATATTTTAAGCCCACTGTTGAGACCTACTGCTCAGAAAAAGATTCCTTTCAAAATACTACTGCTCATTGACAACATACCTGGTCACGCAAGAGCTCTGGCGGACACGTACAGTGAAATTAATGTTGCTTTCATGCCTGCTAACACAACATCTATTCTGCAGACCATGGATAAAGGGGTCATTTTCACTTTTTAAGTCTTATTATGTAAGAAATACATTTCATAAGGCTTAGCTGCCACAGATAGTGATTCCTCTGATGGATCTGGGCAAAATAAATTGAAAACCTTCTGGAAAGGGTTCACCACTCTAGATGCCACTAAAAACACCCACGATTCGTGGGAAGAGGTCAAAATATCAACACTAACAGGAGTCTGGAAGAAGTTGACTCCAACTCTAATGGATGACTCGGAAGGGTTCAAGACTTCAGTAGAGGAAGTCATGCAGATGTAGTGGAAATAGCAGGAGAGCTAGAATTAGAAGTGGAGCCTGAAAAATGGGACTGAATGGCTGCAATCTCATGATAAAACTTTAACGCATGACGAGTTGCTTCTTCTGGGTGAATGAACAAAACCTTAGTTGATAAAGCAGCAGCAGGATTTGAGAGGATTGACTCCAATTCTGAGAGAAGTTCTGTGGGTAAAATGCTATCAAACAGTTTTGCATGCTACAAAGAACTTGTTTGTGAAAGGAAGAGTCAATCGATGCTTCATTGGTGACTTATTTTAAGAAACAGCCACAGCCATCGCAACCTTTAGCAACCACCACCACCACTGGTCAGTAGCCACCAACATCGAGGGAGGACCCTCCACTAGGAAAAAGATTATAACTCACTGAAGGCTCAGATGATGGTTAGCATCTTTTAGCAATAAAGTATTTTAAAAATTAAGGTATGTACATTTTTTAAACATAATGCTATTGCACACTTAAGACTACAGTACAGTATAAATATAACTTTTATATGCACTGGGAAACAAAAAATTCGTGTCTCACTTTATTGAGATATTTGATTTAATGCAGTTGTCTGGAGCCAAATGGGCAATATCTCCAAGGTATGCCTGTACAATCAAGTATTGGTCCATGCAATTTCAAAAAGGCAGGAAGCAAGACTACAACAGAACTGGCTGAACAGGAATGCTGAAGAGAGAAAAACTTTTCCCTATCTTGATAACTCAAAGGTATTTTTTTTAAAGACTAGATGAAAGCAAAAGACAAAACTGCAGACAAAGAAATGTAATTAAATGATGAATATTTCAAAATCAATTCTATTTTGAAATAAAATGTGTTTCCATCGTAAAGGCAGAAAAAAAAAAGTAAAGCAGTGATTTTTATTTCCTTGGGTAAACATGCCATGGCAGCTTGAACACTTCAAAAATATCTTCTAAAACAAAGGCTCTCACATAAGCTCATAATTCAACACTTTAAAAAGTGTGTATCTTGAATGGACTGTTCTGGATGATTTACAAATAAAAGTATTTTAAAGCAGAGTTTTTTTCCTGCAGGAAACAAACTATAGTTTTTATTTTACTGTGCCATGAATAATATTCATACTCTGCCTGGGCTATTATGTAAACAGAGCTGTAGAGTATATTTAATCTTTCCCCATCTTCCCTGCTGTTCGAGTAGCAAAATTAAACGGCAGCAATACAGATTATTCATGACTCAGGGCCTAAAAAATTGGGGGGATGGCACATTTCCAATGTAATAATTCACCCTCCACTGTTCCGTATGATGATTCTGCACTCAACAACTGCAGCAAGCTTGCTAATAAAACAGAAAATCACCAACATTTATTTCTTCAACAAATGTTTATCAAGAGCATACTATGTGCTGGGCCCTGTGCTGGATCTTTTGCATAATGTTTATAGGTTGGGAAGGGTGGGAAAGATGACAAAAGTTGGAAATTTTATTCTCCTTGAAAATAATTATATTCTATAAATATTTGAAGCAGGGAGAAAGCTGAAGCTTTTCTTCATTGGAAGAATTTGTCTCTCAAAATCACAATGAGATATCACCTCCCACCTGTTAGAGCAGCTATTATCCAAAAGTCAAGAGGTAAGTGTTGATAAGCATGTGGAGAAAAGAGAACCCTCAAACACTGTTAGTAGGAGTGTAAATGGATGCAGCCACTGTGGAAAACAGTATGGAAGCTCCTCAAAAAAAGCCAAAAAACAAAAAGAACCACCAAATGATCCTGCAATTCCACCTCTGGTATTTATCTGAAGGGAATGAAATCACTGTCTCAAAAAGAGATTTGCACGTGTTTATTGCAGCATTATTCACAGTAGCCAAGACATGGAAACAACCTAAATGTCCATCAATGGTTGTATGGATAAAGAAAATGTAGTGTACATACACAGTGGAATGTTATGCAGCCATAAAAAAGAAGGAAATCTTGCCATTTGCGACGTGGATGGATCCTGAGGACATTATGCTAAGCGAAATAAATCAGAGAAAAACAAATGCTGTATGATCTCATTTATATGTGGAATCCAAACAAAACAAAACCAAACCTCAACTCACAGACAGAGAGGATAGATTGTTAGTTGCCAGAGGCAGGGGTCAGGGTGGGATGATGGAGGGTGAGTGAAATGGGTGAAGGTCATCAAAAGGCTCAAACTTCCAGTTATAAATTACTGGACAGTTAACAGCATGGTGACTACAGCTAGCAATATTACAGTATTATGTATTTGAAAGTTGCTAAGAGAGTACATTCTAAAGGTTCTTATCACCAGGGGAAAAAATGTAACTATGTGAGGTGATGGATGTTAACTAAAGTAAAAAGTTAAGTCCTATTCTGAATATTGGGCCTTTTAACAGGTGCACTGAGATCAATGGTGGGGAAGTTTTCCAATCTCCAACAATGGATTCTCTGATCAGGCAAATGGACAGAAAACGGAACTGACCCAGATCCAGGAGCCTCGCTCAGACAACGATGTGTACTGAAACTGCCTCCCTCTGCTCCAGCTGTCACCCTATTACTTCAAGGACATTGAGAGTAATGCTGGAGATTCCTGCTTTAAGTCTTGTTTTTAATATTACACATATGCTCAAAGCAACATCCATTAGGAAGCCAACACCCAGGAATAGGGTTATCTGACATTTTAAAGAAGATTTTATAAGACACAAAGCTTTCAATTAAAGTTATTTATTAAAAAACATCTTCTTCCAATCCCGATTCCATATCAAATTAAACAAGGCGTGATGTTACACTGCAATAACCAATCAGATTCATTTGTACAGGGGGTGACAACGTCCTCATTAACTCATCAGTATATTCTCCTAAATAGCAGAATGTGAGTCCAACTCATTCCCCCTTCACAAAAGGTAGGCATACTTGATACACTTCATACTCCCCAAATTTTTTTTATAAAGCTTGTCTTCATATTTCAGCTAAATATCATTCATCTAATATAAAATGATACTGGCTTAAAAGAGCATCTAAGTAATGCTTCGGATTTTTCTTTTTTTTTTTTTTCCCCAAAATTCAAGGAAAACATGATTGGAAGCGTGTTCACTGTTCATGAAGAACCACCTGAGATTCCCTTGTGTTTCCACTCGTCCACTCTTCATGTTTTCCAGTGATTAAAACATGCTGGAAACATTTTTGAGAGCGCTGGAAATGCCAGGCTGATCTCAGAGCTTAAAAAAAGAGTCTCTGAGAGGTCTTGGAATTTTTACAAACTTCAAATTAACATACAGAACACAGGCATTAAAAAAATGACTTTCAGGAGTGCATACACCGAGAGGAAATCCTTTAGTATTCTTCAGCTTTGAACACTTTGGGGCGAGAACTGGTGTCTTTCAATGGGTCAAGTAGTCAGTCTTTTCTCAACAGTTTCCTGATAAGCGACAAACCTTCTCAAATTCATCTTCACGTTGTCGAGAACACACAGCTGATCTGGGCTGTATTTAGCTCTGCCTTCTTTTCGTATCTACCCTCCCCCCACAAAAAAATCATATGTGACTTGGTATATATTACTAATTCCTTTAAATAAGAAAAGCATTCAATTTTGGATGTATTTACTTTCCGAACAAATAGCTGCCAGCACTTGGTGAAACATCTTTCACTCCCAAGGTAATGGAATGGAGTGCGTGAGCCGTAATAAAGGTAAATTAGGATTGTGCACCTTTTAAATGATGGTTACACGAACAGTTGAATTGTAGACTTTAAAATAATGAGGTTTATGGTATGTGAACTACACCTCACCTCTAGTCTAGAGCAATGGTTTTCAAATTTTAGCATACAACAGTATCACCTGGAAGGTTTGTTAAAAAATGGATTGGGGGGCTGTCCACAGAGTTTCTGATTTTCAGTAGGTCTGGAGCTGGGCCTGAGAATTTGCATTTGTAACAAGTTACCAGGTGATGCTGGTGTTGCTGATACGGGACATCTCTGAGAATGGCTGCTCTAGAGAAGATTTTTTAGTAAAATGCATTGTGTTGTGGTTAAATGCAATTTAGGACCAAATACATACTGAACAGCCTTTAATGCAACTGTGGCTTCATTCACAAAGGAGCTTCATATAAAAAAAAGAAACTACATGCTGCCATTCTGGCTAACAAAAAAATTTTATCAGGGCTTTATAGCTTTGAGAAAAGAAAAATGCTTAAATTAAATGTCATTACCATCCAATGCATATTAGGTAGGAAAATCAATCAGAACAACAGAGCTTCCAGAGGCCAGGGCCCATTTTCCTGGTTCACAGTTTGCATAACTACTCTCTAAGCATTTGCTTCCGCAGAGTTTGATACTCTTAACTGACTACATCTACCTTCCTGGCAGCCGCAGGGAAAGAGGGGACATCTCCTTCCCTTGCAGACTCCCTTTTTCAGAAGTTTAAAGGGCCTGTGACACTTAAAAACAATGTAGACACCCTCCATGCACCGGTATGGATATGTCTGTAGGAGACAGTGTTAAATAAAAGCACATCAAGTGCAGGACCATATATGATGATGCCTTTTGGATAATAAAGGGGGAGAATCCTAATGAAAATACTAACGTACATCTGTCTTTGCTTCGAGAAACACCATCCAGTTGTGAGGCAGGGAACCAGTGGGAATAAACCTCTCACTGCTTAAAAAACAAATACCAGAGGAAGCAGGGGGATGGGTGAAATGGGTGAAGGTGGTCAAGAGGTACACACTTCTAATTACAGTGCATCCTTGAACAATGCAGGGGTTGGTAGTGCCAACCCCCCACCCTCAGTTGAAAATCTGAGTATAACTCTAATGGCCAAGGATTCAACCGAGGCTCATGTAGTACCGTAGTATTTACTACAGAAGAACATCTGCATATTTAAGTGGATACGCCCAATTTAACCTGTGTTGTTCAAGGATCAACTGTATAAGAGAAGTAAGTCTCGGGGTTTAAAGCACAGCACGGTGACTACAGTTAACAACACTGGGTAGATCTTTAAAGTTTTCACTACAAGGGAAAAAAAATCTGTAACGATGTGTGGTGATGAATGTTAACTACACTTATGGTGGTGATCTTTTTTGCGACATATACATGTATCAAATCATTACGTGGTACTGTACACCTAAAATTAACACGTCATATGTCAATTATATCTCAAAAAAAAAAAAGAAAGAAAAGAAAAAGCAACAAAACCCAGGCAAACAAACAAAACTACAGACTTAAAGCATGATTAACAGTAAACTAGTCACAAAGGAAACTATATTCAGTACCTTGTAGTAACTTACAGTGAAAAAGGATATGAAAACGAATATATGTATGTTTGGGTACGACTGAAGCATTGTGCTGTACACCAGAAACGGACACAATATTACAAACTGACTATACTTCAAGAAAAAATACATATCAAAGAAAAAAAAAAGAGTAAACTGGTCAAGTTTTTCCCCTCAAGACTAACATCACCTATTGGTAAAGCTTAACTCAATAAATGTCAGTCACTCTCACTATATTTTTGAATGTAAGATGCCAAAACATGAAAATATTAAAAACAAATCAATTATTAATGTTCTAAACCAACATTGATGTAACTACAACACAATGTGCCTGGCATGTGTTGCTATTTTTTCCTTCTGGAGAAGAAAACTATTTATAAAAAATTTTTTTAGAAAACTATTTTTTATGCCTTAAAAGAATTCAGAAAGTTTGAATTTCTAGACATACAATCATATTCATCTAAAAACTTATCATAGGATTCTGTCCATGGGAATTAAATTTTGCGTTAGAAGTTTGTTAGAGAAAAGAAATACATATTGGAAAACAACAAAAGTAAGCTAATTTTTCATTAAAACTTCTATTCGCTTGACAAAGATTTAAAAGCAAAAGTTAACTTAAAATGTAAAAGCCAAAAACACAAATATTTTTATTTCTCAAAAGAAAACGAAATGGAGATTTTATAAGAGGAGAATGGTAAACTTTAATTTATGGACATGAAACTCAAAGCTGTTTTTTAAATTTGATTGCTTCCCCCAACCACTGTAATAGTTCTTGAAAATTATTTTTTGACTCAAAGTTAGTACGATGCTTCTGATGAAACAATAAATAAATCCATCCATCCATAAATAAATGGGCAAATGAAGGTAGCTGCATTCTCCGTTACAGACCAGCCTGTAGTTTGCTGGCCTTTTTTCCCAAAGCAAAGGGAAATATTCAAAACAATGAAATCAGCCATTTATAATGCATTACATGATATAAAATAAATTTAACGTGTCTATGAAAGTGCTTTGCAGGCTAGAGTGTAGTGCTTACACGTAAGCATTGTGAACATTACTAACCCGCTGCAGAGAGAGGAACTTGTGGACACCATTTTGGCTCAAGTCACAGTGATTCAACAGAAAGGGCGCCTGAGCCCTGACTCAGCCAACAAGCATTCACGCAGAAGGGGGGGTGGGGTGGGGGGGGTGAAGTGCTATGTGAATCAGTGAGGTTGCAGGGAGGGAACCACACACACTCTCCGCCCACAGAATGTTGAGACTTCAGCATTTCTAAATAAAACGCTACCTACCTTCATTTTGAAGACTGGCTGGAACTCTTTCAGGGCAGATAACAATTTAATTTGAATTGAGGCCCTTTCAGCTTCTTTACCATCTGCGAAAACGTCGAAGAGGGCATCCAGAGCCTCTCCTGCTACTACAAGGGAGGGATCTTTGGTGGCAACCTCGAGCAGAAAGCACCCGATGGTCTGGAGACAACAGCACACATCGTTACTAGCCGACACGCTAAGCCAGCTTCAAAAATAAGTACTAACTCTAAATGTGGCAGCAATTCATGAGTAACATTTTATATAAAAATGCTAGAGAAAAGTTAAAACTTTTAAAAGGCTACAGACGTTAAAGTGAATCCAATACTGAAAATAAAATTAAATTAAAAAATAAAAAGACTACAGACTTATCAAATATTTATAAAAATACCAACTATAATATATGCAAGATGATTTAAAAATATTAAAGTTTATATTCCTAAGTAAAATGAATTAAGATCCATAAATGATATATGAGAGACTGATTTTGGAAATTATTTTAATATTTAATTATTTTAATTATTTCCCCTCTACCTCCCTCAAAAAGGCTTTTCCCATGGTGTCAAAATGCATATAGATACTATCTGTAACCAAAAAAAAAATCTGCCTTTTAAAATTATATGAAAAACACTCTAAGATGATTATAAAAATAAAGAACACTTCATCTCATTTGCTTCACTGTGATTTTTTAACATGCACCCATTTTTTTCACAATTAGCTAGCTAATGAGCAGACTTTTCTCAACCTGCGAAGAATTGTTCAAGAGTGAAGTTACTTTACTTTGGCTGTTCTGCTTCACCCTTTATGGCTTAAGGGCGATGTGCACATCTGGTATTAAGGGCGGGAGAGTCCAGACTCCAGCTCTACCATAAATAACAAGGTGACCGTTGGACAGCTTATTGCCCACTCTGGGTCTCAATTTTCTCATCTGATAAGTGGTCTAGATAACCTCTAAGATGGTATTTAAACTTAATATCCTATAATATAACATGAAAATACACAGCATCACCTATGAAGCGGTCTTATTGAAAAGAATAATCTGAATCTAACCTAGCCTTCAGATCTAACTTTCACGTTGCAGGAATTGCAGAGGATAAAGGAACAAGCTTAACACCACGAGGAAGCAGTCAGACAAACCCAGAAGGTTGAGCATTATGAGCCAGTCAGCCCAGGAGCTGAGAGAAAAGCAGGCGGTGTAGGCGGTGCCAGAAGGAGCACTGTTGTAGATCAAGAGAGGCTTAGAAAACCCCAAACCAGGCACATGTAGACTTCACTTAGATCCTGATTGAAGCAAACTAACTGGCAATAGACATTTTTGGAACAACTGGAAAAACTTGAATGTATTGGACCATGTATTAGACATATTAAGAAATGACGGTTACTTGTGTAAGGCGTGATAATGGTGGTTATATAAGAAACTGTCCCTATTTTTAAGACACGTATACTGAACCCACAGGATGTCTTTACTTTAACAGCCCCAGCAAAGAAGCTACATCAAGTCCATGTGATAGAATACTACTAATTGTTAAATATGCTTGATGGCTGTACACAATTCATTGTACTTTCTATTTTTCTTCATGCTTGAGAAGGTGGCTAAATACAAACATCTTGGAAATCTTATGTTATGCCTGAGAAAAACTTGGTGCTCCCCTAAAGAGGACCTGGGACATTACAGCCTGAATTATATGTACACACACTCATCGGTATGTGTGTGCACACACAGAGCCCACAGCCACCCCCCCACGTGTATGTGTGTCAAAATCCCTGGAATGTCACAGAAGAAATGGGTAACAGTGGCTACCTCTCTAGAGTCGAACGGGGGGACTGGAAGTTTCGGAGTGGAGATGTGTCTTTTCACTACAGATTCTTTTCTACTTTTCTGAATGTTTTGCTATGTGCATCTATCACCTTTTCAAAATAAGGTTCTTAAAAATACTTCAGCAATTACCATCAGCACAATGAAGGGTAATTTTACTCTTACGCTCCCCTGAGTTACTAGGCTGTATCTTTAGCAGTGCAGTTCCTGAGCAACTGTGCGGAGACAAAGTGCTGGAAGCAGATATGCTGAGTGAGTTCCTAGTGTGCTGGTACGACCAGAGTTGCCGCTTAAAACTTATGGGGTGGTGTTAGGACAAATCGTGTGGGGTTGTGCAGAATGCACACGAGCCTGGAGTGCTAAGAAACCTGGCTGGACTGCCCCTTCATCAGGAGAAGAACTTAACAGGCACGTGTTTTAGGCAACAGCAAAGGCAGAGGCATCTTGAACAGTTCCGAACCTGGGTCTATCACTGAAGACAAGTTTACTTTTGAAAAAGTACCTCTGGAGGAATGTTAGATGGCAAAACGTGACTTGACGTTTCAAGTATCTATTTAATTCATGTAGTTAGAACAACCCAGAGGGTATATTTTATATATACCTTAGTGGGCAACTTCTTGGTATGATTTCTTCTCACGAAGACCACAGAAGGTTTTAAAATCCCACACCAATAGTCACTCTGCTCCCACCCCTAATGATTGAACAAGTTTGGGTCAGAAGCATATTGTTTTTACCTTAAGAGTTTCAAGCGTGCCATCCTCTTTGGCTAGGATGCTGCCAGTGATTCCTAAAATACTAACCACGTTCACTCTAACCCCGACGTTACTACTGTGGATGCCTGCTTTACACAGTGTCATCAGCTGGTCAGGAGTCATGCACTGTTGAAAGAGAAGGAGAGAGCGTTCAGAGTACTAAACTCAACCGGTTCCACCAGCACGTGCAGCGGGATGGATGGGAGTCAGTCTCTCTCTACAGGCAGCTTGATTCTACAAGGGACACGCAGAGAAGTTATTACATATTCTAGTCACTCCTAAATACGGTTGGTACTTCTGAACTAAGATGAGGCCTGTTCACGTCACTGTCACCATTTAATCCATCACAGCTGTCAGCCTGTAAAAGGGCCTTCAGTTTCTACCCGTTTCATTTCAAGATTTTCACACAGATGTACACAAACCAAAGAGATTCTAATTTCTCTTTAACACTGACCAGAAAAAAAAAGTGTTTTGAAAATGTAAATGTAAACAGGATCATGCAGCTTTAATAAAAATTGGCTGAATCTATACAAGGTAAGAACTTACTCTGAGATTTATGTGTCATGATAAATTATTAAAGACTGTACAATGCATTAAATTATATAGTGACACCATGCAGTGACAATTTTCATTTTAAATTGATTTGCACACACACGTGGATGCAGGTCTCACAAGAGAGTGGGAACGTCATGTTGCCAAACCATTTCCTGTGAGAAGCAGCACAGTCTGGTGATTAAGGGCTTAGGATTCTGACGTCCTGGGTTCAAATCCTAGCTCTACCACTTAGCACTGGGCAAATCAGCACAAGTGACTTAACCCTTCTAAGTTTGCCATTTGCACATCAGTCACATGGGGACAAAAATCATCACGCAGAGCTGTTAAGAGGATTAAATAATGTTTATAAAGCACTCACTAAACGTTAGCTATTATTATACATAAACATACTAAACAGTTCTAAATCATCACACTTATTTCTGAATCATTTGTTGTGCTTCTGCCAAATCGAATGGTAACAGCTAACATGCCCAGGTTTCTCGGAAAATAATGAAAAAAACTCCACAAATCATGGGACTGTTCATAACTAGGACGAGGCTGGCTGCATTACTAGCAGTATGACTCACACCTGTGAGCTGCCTCATTTGTGTACAAACCTACAAGGTAAAGAACTAGACAGGGAAGCACCACACCATCCTGGTGCCGTCACTCAGCAAGCCTAGTCCTTGGTTTCCTCTCCTCAAAGAGCAGCACAGAGCCGGCGTCCTGCTACTTCTAAAACCCTGTGCTCCAGCCCATAACACAGGCAATCTGAGGACTTATGATTTTAATACGTATGAATGACTTCACATTAACTGAGCATGAGCTTCGAGTAATTTTCTTCAAACATCATACTAACCTAGTAAGCTACTGCCTAGTATCATGGAAAAATGAATAAAAATCCTTTATATTGTGATACGCCCTACAGTACAGGGTTTTCAGAACTTCTCAATAGCCGTATGGCAGGGCAGGCATTATTATCATTTCCATTTGATAGAAACAGAGGGTCAAAAATTGATTTCTTGAGAAAAATTCTCAAATATACAAAGAAAAAAAATTAAACAGTATATATTAGAGGCCAACACAGCATATACTGTATTCAACAGTAAAACACCAGAGACTTCCCATTAAACCCTGAACAGGATCAAGCTTGGATCAAGCTGCTCTAGAGGTATGGCCCTGGAATGACCAAGGAAGGAAGGCAGACAGACTGCTAGAGGAAAGGAGGCCCAAGAAATGCGAAGCCCAGGGCCAGGAAAGGGCATCCAACTGGATTCTGAAACCACCAAGAATCTCAGTGGGACCAGCGAAGAGTAACAGAGACTGACAAGCAGGAATCTTCGAGGAACGAGGGGCGCCCCTGGCGATGGTGGGTGACTGTAACCAGGAGAGGTGGGTGGTGCAGTCTGCTGACATGTTACTTAAAACTGGAGGATTTTAGAAAGGAAGGAGCGAGGATGGTTTAGAGCTGTGGTTCTCAAACTTCAACGTGCACGACAATAACCTGGAGAACTTTTTAAAACAGACATCCCTGGGCCCCTCCCCAAAGCCTCTGCTTCCGGACTAGAGGTGAAGCCCTAGGATGTGCCCTTATATACAAAGAGGAACAAGATCACTGATCCAATAGCAAAACTGGCAAAAGATAGGAAAAATCACAGCAAAAAATTGCAAAGGCCCTTAAAACACATGAAAAGATGTCCAATCTCCTCAAACTAGGAGAAATGCAAATTAAAACTGAGACATAATTTCTCACTAAAACCAGTAAAAAGCCAACATTTTGACATCATATTCTTCTGGCAAGGCTGTGGTAAAATAGGCATTCTCAAACACGGCTGTGGAGATGCAAAGTGGCTAAGGAGGGGACTACAGCGACACCCAGCAAAGCTACAGAGCCATCTGTTCACCGAGCCGGCAAGCTCACTTCCAGGAATCGATCCCAAAGACACAGTGGCAACAACACAACGCATCTTCTGTAAAAAGGCTATTCGCTGCAGTTCCATTCGTAATAGCAAAAGACTGGAAACAACTCAAATACGCCTCAAAGCAAAGAGGCCGAAAAAACATGGAATATGTACACAATGGAGTAATGTATACAATACACATGGATAGGAAGTTGTAAAAAAGAAATGAGAAACATGTCTATCTACTACGATGATTAATAAAGGACAGAAGCAAGGCAAGGGCAGAAGCAGTGCTTTTAAGAAAAGGGGTGAAATACAGATACATACATATTTGCTTATGTTTTCAAAATAAGAACAATAGAATAATAAATAAATTTAAAAAACCATAAAGTGTGGTTATCAATGGCAGAAAGGAAACAACAGGGGCAAAGGGACAGAAGCTAGACCTCTCTAAATAAATATATATATATGTATAATATGCATAAAACTTACCATTTTAACCATTTTTAAATGCACAGTTCAGCAGCAATAAGTACATTCACATTATTGTGCAACTAGCCATCACCACCATCGATCTCCAGAACTTTTTCATCATCCCAAACTGAGACCCTGTACCCAGCAAACAATGTCTCCCTACTCCCCCCTTACCCCGACCTCTGGCAGCCACTGGTTCTACCTTCTGTCCCTATGAATTTAACTACTCTAAGTCCCTCAAAAGAGAATTCATACAATATTTGTCCTTTGTGTCAGGTTATTTCACTCAGAATAATGTTTTCAAGGTTTATTCATGCAGTAGTATTTATCAGAACTTCATTCCTCTTTAAAGCTGAGTAATACTCCATCGCATGTATATATCATGTTTCTCTGAACATATTTTGTTTCAGTTTTAACTCTGACACTGTGTAAATATTTTATGTAATCAAAAAAATAAAAATTAAAGCAACCAAACGAAAAAACCCTTAAAAAAAAAAAGCTGCAACAACAGAAGCTAACTTTATAACAAGCCGCAAAGAGAAATTTTTCAAGCAACTTTAATAGTAAATTATATAATCCTAGAGGGATTTTTTTCCCTGAGGACAAGAAGAATCACAAGGAAATCTTAAACTGCATTCAGTATGTCATTGTTAGTAATAACAGCATTATTTTGAAACTATTAAAAATATTGGGTAAAATAAAGCAAACAATAATAATGAGTTTATAATGATACTTAAAATTCACTGGTCATCTTTTTTTTGATTCATCTTTTTTATTGTTGTTGTTTTTGGGAGAGGGAGGTAATTAGGTCTATTTATTTATTTTTAGAGGAGGTACCAGGGATTGAACCCAGGACCTTATGCATGCTAAGCATGCGCTCTACCACTTGAGCTATACCCTCCCCTTCACTGGTCATGTTTAGAGACTGCTAGGACACCAACTCATTGTTCTGGAAAAAGGGGTGGGGGTGGGAGAAGAATCATACACCTACCCCATCTGTTGTGGTATGTAATTTACTTCAAAGTTACTAAATAACTGATGAAACAGGAAGTTCTTATTTATAGAAGAATCACGGCCAATAAATGGAAAAGAACGACAAAATTAGGGTATCCCCATTTTGAAAGCTCTAATGAAATAATGGCTCTGTATAACAATTACCACTGGTTGTTACAAGTGACTCCACTGATTAATCTTAACATCACTATTTTACGACAATATTTATGATATAAAAGTAGAAAATAAATACATACAGCACTACGGATTATTTTTGCCCAAAAAGTCTGATCCTGAACGTAATTAAGGCTCTAGACCTAGCTTCCAAATTATAGGAAAAGCGGGAGGCAGAGGGCCACGTTAAACAGTAACACTGCTTAGCCAGCCAAACTTGAGAATGGGGAAAACCCTTTAGGACAAAGGACAGCTTCTTCAATGAATAAACAGTACGGGGAAAGGGGGGTAGGAAGGGGAAATGTTACTGATTCAGAGATTCAAGAATCTGTCAATATACTAAAAACTACTAAAATGTACACTTTAAATGGGTGAATTATATGGTAGGTGAATCAAATCTCAACTACAGCCGTTTTAAAAAAATATTTAAGAGATCAAAATATCAACTAAAAACAATACGTGGATACTGCTTATTAGACGCTGATAACAAACCAATTGGAAAAAAAAGAAAGACATTTTTAAAGCAATCAGGGAAAACTGAACTCTGACTGCATATCAAATGATAACTTTAAAATGTCTGTTAATTTGGGGGTTTGGGATAATGGTATCGTGGTTAAGGTTTTTAAAAGTTCATTTTCTGTCACAGACACACAATGAAGCACACAATAAAGTATTTATGGGTCACATAATATGATTTCCTTTACCTATTCCAGGATGCAAAAATAAAAATGTAGGAAGATGAATGAAACAAGAATGACAAGATGCTGACAATCTATTGACACCTATGATAATGCACACAGGTATTTTTGGGGATGTTTGAAAATTTCCTGCATTAAAAGTAAAACATAAATGTGATAAAGGCACCTATCACAGAGGTGCAGACAGATCTCTGCAGAGCATGTGGAGAATCTGCTTGAAAATTTCTGTAATAAAATGTTTTAAAAAAGACTAATGACTCAGGGAAAATACAAGACATATGTCAAATACATTATATCAAAAAAAAACTGTGTTTTGGTGGCAGTGGTGGGGAAAAGGAAAAGATTTTACTTTAAGTACTTTTGTTTTCATTTTATAAGGATCATGCCATATTCCTTTAATAGAAATAAATACTTTAAAATAGTTAAGTAATACATTTTGCCTTGGGATCTTTACTAGTTTCACATAAAAATTTTAAAACCTTACCTGAGAAATGTTCTTGGAGGCCATTGTTTGCAAAAGGGCCCTCAAGGCACTACTTATGGCTTCTAAAAAGTCAACGTGCTTAGCAAAATCTAAAACACAAAAGTGAAATATATATTTGACTTTCTCTAAGAAAAGTTATTTTGCGGAAAAAGAATCAAAACGAAGCATGTTAAATGTTAATACATGCTACTGTAATAAAAAAATAAAAAACACTTGATATTCAAGCCCAAACTTCCAGTTAACAGCCCCCTGTGAGCTGTACGTGTGAATCTGAAAGATGACCACAAGTGAAATCAAATGACAGTCCTCAACTTCCAGATGCTACATTTTCATTTCCCTCACACTTCAGCACATGATAAACCCGAATGAGCCTTGGTAGACTGAATTCAGCTTTTCATAGGTTACCATCCCCATGCTGGGCAGACACCGGAGTGGAGTCATCTCCCAAGTCAGAGTGCTTCCTCGCCGACTCAAACCCACTGCCTATCCAGCAAGTGTTGCCTGTGCCGGGCCAGGCCCCTCCGCCTCTAATGCCTCAGTGGCTCCCATGGTTTTTACTGACCCAACTTCCCCTTCCCATTCCTGCTCATTTTTATCCTTTTCTTATTGTCCCTTCTTCCCACACAGGACAAAAAGAAGGACAGCAATAAACAGTCATGTCAACACAGTGGGACAGAAGGGCGAGGGCCACCCAGGTGAGTTGGCTCCCTTCCCCCTTTGGTGGGAAGGGAAAGTGACTGATATGGTGTGACAGATTATATTTTCTAAAAATAGCCACAACGGTACTTTCAGTTCTGCACGATCTCCCAGAACTCGGCTGCTTCCTCTATGGATGTAGAGTAATTTCCCCTCCCCTTGAATCTGAGTGGGACTTTGTGGCTTCTTCAATCAACAGAACACAGGAAAATGAAAGGCTAGGGTGTAAAAGGCAACGTGATTTCCACCTGACTCACACGTGTTTGCTCCCCTCCTCTCTCTCAACTCTTGCCCTTGGAAGCCAGCCACCGTGTTATGATGCCCAGATCACGTGAAGAGGTCACTTGCCGGGGTTCTGGCTGACAGCCCCACACCAACCACCAGACATGTGAGTGAGCAGACCTCAGATGATTCTGGCTCCCAGTTTCCCAACAGAGGTTTCTCAACCTCAGCACCATGGACATTGTGGACGAGATAATTCCCTGTTGTGTATGTCTGTGTGGCCCCTGTGCACTAGACTATTTAACAGCATCTCTGACCTCTACCCTCTAGATACAAGCGGAAGCCCCCAAGTTATAACAGCAAAAAGTTTCTCCAGACGTTGACAAAAGTCCTCAGGGGCAAAACTGCCACTAGTTGAGAACGACTGGCTTAGACGTCGTGGAGGAGAGACAAGCCGTCTCCACTGTACCCTTTCTAAACCCCTGACACACAGAAATCACGAGAAATAACACATGATTATTGCTGTCTTAAGCCACAAAGTTTTGGTGATTTGTTATGTAGCAATAGACACGCTGGCTTCCTCCCTGTGGCACCTGGCCGCACAGACAGTCTGATGCCCCCTTTTGGGCGGTCTGCAGGAGAGCAAGGCAGCTTCTGCACAGGTCTGAATCCAGGCTTGCTTTATTTTTCTCTCATTTTACAACCACGTTAGGCACAGATGTGGGGAATTTCTGGAAGTATCACGGATCAGACACTAGGATACTTTGGAATCAGACAGACCTGGGACAGAATCCAGCCTCTGACATTATGTGACCTCTCATTGTGGTCCTGGCTCAAATGTTACCTCCTCAGAGGGGCCTTTCCTACACTAACCATTGTGACACCTCATATCACTCTGCTTTTATTTGTTTCTTCCTAGCTGAAATGACATCACACCTTTACTCCTATGAGAATGCAAACTCCATGAGCATGATGGCCTTGTCTGTCTTGTTCATGCTTGGATCCTCTTGGACCCAACACAGTCCATGCCATAAAGTAAGTGTTCAGTAAACACACATTCAAAGTAAAGGAATGATTCTGATGAAGTTCCTTAACCTCTAAATCTCAGCTTCCTCACCAGGAAGATAGGGTAATAATGCCTAGCTCATAAAACCTAGTACCTAATAGGCCCTCAAAAATTGGTATAACATTGTTATAAACTTCAAAAAGTCACCATACTGGCTATGAAGAGTAAATTATATTTGATTAAAGCTGTAAGTGTATCCCTGGAAATTCACTAATGGCACATAAAACAGTTGAACAATGTAACTCAATATAACCTAGAACATATCTCAGACTCAACTTTTTTTTCTGTCCTACATTCTTAGGAAAATAACCATTACCTTAGATTCAAAATCCTAATCTACACGACTGTTTTACATTATGTGAAATTCATACTTTCCCTAAATTTGGGCAATTTTTATTTAATTCACATGTCTGGCCATTTATCCAAATTGGAGAAGGAAGTTCAAATGACTGCCTTTCTGACAAATTTTCAGTAAAAGGTCAACACATGTGGTATTGTCAGAAGAAATTAAGTAAATGTCAAAAGAAGTTAAACAAAAGAGGTGATTCAAAATGTCGCCTCAACAACTTTGTACAGTATCTAAGAATTTGTAGCACGCCTGAATGTGGGCAAATAGTCAACCCACAAGCAATCAAGAGGCAAATTATATTTAGGTGAATTTTTCAGACTGATTTTCAATGTTCTAATATGGAATTAAAAACATACCCCAAAATGGGCAATACTACCATTCTAACTATAATGAAAAAGAGTGTTCTGCTTCCCAAAATCTAGGCAAACAGGAAATCTAAATGATCTTAGAGCCCAAGCGATGGAGCAAATGACAGACTGACCCAATCTGAAAATACAACATTGCTCAAAGTTTCTTGACGTTTTGAAGATCGGTATTTTAAATGAAGGAGATATAGATATTGGCGTTTTGAATGCAAGGACCAGATTCTCCTGGAATTTTCTCCCTTCACCTCTGATGTCAGCCACAAACATATGTAGGTATGTATCACAAATTTTATAACGATTTGGAACTATGTGTTAGCATTAAAATTAAAACAAGTTAAATATGGCTGTGTGATCTTCATACACTTAACTTTCAAACATGGCAACACAAAAAAGCTGAGAGAGATTTAGCCCCAGTCTCCCCCCCAGATTCTCCAATAACAGTTCATTCTATCCATACAGAACCCACAGGGTTACCTTACTTAATAAATCCCAAGTATTTAGAAAGAATATTTTAGAATATCATACCTAAATACAAGCAATTAGTCTTTATCAAAAATTTCATTTTGATAAAAGATTGTGTCAACAACAGCTATGAAATTGGAGTTTATTTAAAATCAAAATGTTTAATTATGTTTTCCCGCAATTTCCGTATTTCTCCAAGGCTCAGCTTGTTGAGGGTTTTCCTGCGATCCCTCCAGGTAATAAATGTGCATGCACCAGTGACCACAAATAGCCCGCTGAACTAGGAGAAACAAACCTAAGAGTTTCTGCATAGCAGAGGCACAGAATATGTGCACTTATTTCAAGTGAAAGATGCTGGTTGGGGATTGGGCTTGTGGTACCTTAACTGGACTCTGACTGAGAAACGGCCCAGAGGAAAGAGATGGCAATTGTGGAACTAGGGCAGACAAGGTTAAGCAGGTCTTAGAAGCGCTAAGAGGCTTGGGTAGGTCCTGCTCACCTGGGGCCCTGGCTGTGGACTCCCCTATTTGGCCCTGCTCCCTCCGGGGAGCCCATGGGAATGGGTGGGTGGGAGAGGGCATGAGCAATAGCAGCCCTCCACCAGCCACCCCTCCATACGACATCCTGCTGGGCTGATGGGAGCCATCTCCCTTTCCCACCCTGCCATCCAGATCTCTTTAGGTTTATAAGGCTGCAAGAGAAATACACAGCTATAGTCACCATCTGGCCAAGTCACCTCTGTACCCCAGAGCTGGCCCAGTCCCAGCTTGGCGTGGGAATGGGGCTAGAGCACTGCTCACACCTGGGCTATGACCTGTCTTAGGTATGGCTGGGCATAGTTTCCAAGTGATCACACTAACTAAAGAACGCACAGCCTGAGCTCTTCTGAAAACGACATCTATTAACTGACAAATGTTGAAAGGTTGATAGAGACAGAACTATAACTACATTCTGAACATTTATTTACTTAATCTTTAAAAATTAATCTAGAATTTCTAAAACATGCACCATTAAATACACAGCATCTCTTGATAGAGAGCAAAATAGAGGTCTTAAAGAACTGAGGACAGCAGAGTGGGTACAGTTCAGTGGTAGAGCGCATGCTTAGCATGCACAAGGTCCTGGGTTCAATCCCCAGTACCTCTATTTAAAAAAAAACAAAAAAAGAATTGGGGAGCAACTCTTGAAGGAATGCTCATACAGAAACTTGTATTTAGTCAAAAGTGACCATATGTGGATCTTTTAAGAGTTTCAACTCTTAGACTTAGTGTTGTGTCTGAGAAGGGAAAATGTTAAATTGCTTGCAAGCAATTACAGTAGATTTGTATCTCCTGTATTAGCCCTCACACCAGACATGAATGGTGGGTAATGTGCAGAATTCTCCTTTACTGTGTAAAATACTACTATTTCCTCTCTGTCTGTTTGTTTGAACTCCTCCAGTTTAATGTGGTGAAGTTAAATGAGCTTCTACGACCGTGAACTCTGACGATCCGTTAGAAAAGCACGCAGTATACCCTGCACTGCTAGGTCATTAAAAAGAACAGTTAGCTACGTAAAGTTTCTCTCTAGGTTCCTGTGTACAAATGAAATTAATCCATATCGGAGATGTGTAATAGAGAGATTCAGCTTTTACCATGCAGAAGTGTTTGAGGAAAGATACATGTTAGAAAAAAGCAAGGTATAGAACCGTGTGTATGGTACTCTTATCATTTGCCTCAAAAACACACACACATATACCTTTACATCAAGAATCTGTCTGGAGGAATATACAAGAAACTGGTCCCAGTGACCGATTCTGGGAGAGGAACTGGATGGTGTGAGAAAAAGTAGGGAGGCTTTCCACTTTATGGGTTCTCAAAACTTGTGAAGTCTGTTATACACCTTTGTGTTACCCAATCAAGTGTAAATCAAGCGGTTTTATACTTGAGGAAAACTAAAGAACAGAGAATTACCCAAACATCTTAATGCAGCCTAATATTTATGATACTTGTGATTCAGCCTGATTTGTCCAGACATAACTGGTACAAGCAAATTTTAATAAAAAAGAAAAATATAACCCATAGGCCTGCTTGCATACCTGGTTTTGACTCTACACCATTGACAACTAAAAATATATGACTCTTAGTGTTTGGGAAAGGTTTCTGCAGGTTGGATGAGAGACAGTATGAAATTATGGACTACAAGTTCCCACTCGCTCCGAGCAGTTTTTCACAACAAGGCCCAAATATTTACCTGGCTGGGAAAAAAGCAGCTGTGACAGATGTTGTGCAAGTGTCTGAAGGGCTGCAGGTCCTCCCAGATGGTCCACATCCAGGAGGGACACAAGACTCTGGAGACACACGAGGGCTCTACACTGTACAGTGTTCATTCTGGAAAGCAAGGGAGAGAATGCTGTCTGTTCCTCTCACAGTCACCCAACAGAATCCAGTACTGCATTTGAGCCTAAGCTTCTGGAAGCCTAGGACTGGGACTACCTGCAAGCAGAAGGAGGTCTAGGGCAGTTAGCAAGGAACCTTAAGGTGAACTGTTAACCCGACCAGATCAAGCTGCTTGGGTGCGCAAGGCCCCTAAGACACCGCTCATCTATGAGTCACATAGAATCTGCTTGAGAATTGCTATGCACAGCAGCAGGGTTTTTGTTTGTTTGCTTTGTTTTTTAAATTATACCCCACCCCACCCCAGTAGTCATGGACCATCACTCTCTATTTCCTTCCTCTGCCTTATTTTTCCTTCATAGCCCTTTTTTAGGAGGAAGCGGGGATAATTAGGTTTAATTGTTTTGTTTTTTTTTTATGGAGGGACTGGGGATTGAACCCAGGACCTCAAGCCTGCTAGGCCCACACTCAACCACTGAGCTATACCCACTCCCCTGGGTAGCATTTTTAAAATCATTTTTAGTTGTGAAACATGACATACATAAAGTGCTCAATGAACATACGAGTTTAACAGTTTATAAAGCAAACAACCTGCGCACCGAGGTGAGTGATAAACGCCGCCAGCACCCTCACAGCCCTTCTACCCCTTTCCCATCACGCCCCACCTCCCTGACCCCGATAACCAGATTTTTATGGCCGACGTTTCCTTGCTTTGCTTTACAGGTTTACCACCTACCTATGCATCCCTAAACAGAACAGTTCAGTGTTACTTGTTTTTGAACTTTGGAAAAACTGAATCACAGAGTGTATATTCTTTTGTGACTCGCTTCTGGTTCAATGTCATAAGTGTCACCCATGTTGTGAGCAGTTCCAGTTTGGGTCTTTTTATTGCTGTCTGCATTCTATTGTATGATTATGTCAGAATTTATGTATCCACTCTGCCACTGATGGACATTGAGGTTCTTTCCAAGTTGGGGCGACCATGACTCACCATGCTGTGAGCATTCCCCTGTCTTAGTGCACACAGGCACACGTTTCTCTAGGGAACATACATAGAAATAGGGCTCTTGAATCTGAGCGAGTCAGCACCTTCTGTTTAATGGTCCACCATTTCATATAATAACATAACGACAAGTGGTTTTGAAAATAGAAAAGTTCTTACTTTCTAATCAAAGGTTTCCAAGTGGGGTTCCTAGAACACATGTCAACTGCAATGCTGTTTGGAAAAGCAGTTTTCTCAAAAATCTAAATTTAAAAAACAGTAAAGCAAAGGTTAAAGAGTTTTTTTTTTTAATACATGATCCTTTTATAAAATCCCAACATACGACTTCTAAGCGAGATGTAAGGCTCAATATAGACACACTGCAGCCTACTTCCAGTGCTGTTCATTGCTCTGTTTCCCAGACTGTACCAATCACCTGCGCCTGGAAGTGTGAGCATACTTCTGCACAAAGAACGAATAGCGTTTGTAAGCCTTCCCTGCGCTCTACAGTGAGCCAAGACTGAAAACAGATTACCTTCTTGGGGAGGAGGTGGTTGGTGAGAGCGGTGTGAACCTCGTGGGAGAGGCAGAGGGGGGACAGCAGCTGCCCACCACACTCGCTGAAGGAACCCTCCATAAACGCATCGCTTTCGTCGCTGCTGGAAAGCTCTTCCCACTCGTCGTCAGTGGGATCTGGGAAGAGGGCAAACCACACACAACTGGAATATTTAAGACAGTCCTCATGGCAGCTGCCCTCGCGGGCCAGGGGAGGCGGTCTAGACATGAACTGGGCACAAACCTTCACTGCAGCACATGTTGACAATAATTTCCAGAGCAGTCTGCTGAGCTGTCAGCAGTGCTATGGCCTCTCTCAACTCCTTGTCGGTGGGCTAGAAAAAAAGAGAAAAAAAGGAAATGACCAACTCTCAAATGTTTGGGAAAATATTTTCATGTGACTTTCCTTAGTTAAAGCCTACCAAATGATATCTGCATTTGGAACAGAGGGCAGGGAGGCGGGTAGGCTGAAGAAAAGTCAGAAAGCCCTGGGAATAGAAATGAGCATTATGACTCCTCTCGGCGCTGTGGCGCGTGCCCTGCTCACCGGTTCTCCATCTATCCGCATAGTTATTCTCTAAGTGTTGCTTGGACAGAACAGATCTTCAGGGATTCTGAACTGATTTCACCCTGGAACTTAATCTAATGTGTTAAGAAGTAGCTCAGCACACTAAGGCTCGAACAAGAGTTCATTCTCAGACACCAGGCACTTATACACAACAAACCTGCTTTTAGATGCTTAGATGTCTTCTTAGAAAAGACTGCATTAACAAGAATTACTAACAGGCCCTTAGACGACCAACAGAGCTTGGCTAGGGAGCAGATAGGCTTCCTGGCTTTCTTGGAAGGCTGCAATAAAGCCTTTCTTTAAGACTGAAGAAAGAGGGGTACTTTTTCTTCTGGAAATAAATAACATGAACTTACTTTATCAAGTAACATTCTCAAAATAGACTGTATAAATTTACATGACCTTAACTCTCAAGTCACCTATGAAAAGTGAAATAGCTACAGTGATGTTCCAAAATAGTGCAGAAGCTAGAAATTATGCTTATTTTGTCTGAATGTTTCCCAACTTCAACAGTTTTCTAATTGTCTTTTAAATGGCTGCACAATATTCCATTAAATGGATGCCTTGTAATTTATTAAGCATTCTGCTAGCATGGAACATTTCAGAGTAGTTGCTATCTTATTTCCACAGATTTACTGGGACAAAGGTTAAAAACACATCTATAGACCCTGTGACATATTCCTGTTCTCCTTTCCAGAATGTTCGTACTCATTTATAATCCTTCAGCAACTTCTTTGTGCAACGATTTAACTGCAAGTTTGAACAATGTCCTCAAAAAAAAGGCAGATGGCTAATTTAATAGATGCAGCGTAGGAATCCGTGTGTTTGTTTTCCTTTTATTGCTGGCATGAATGTGTATAAAATTTATTCCTATTCACTTCATGCATGTATGATATCCAACTAAACATTTCTTAGAGGACACTCAAAGCTATGAGACAAACATACGCCATTGCGGGACTTTCATCCACTTAACATGTACGAAGATCTGGCTTAGAAGAACTCTGAAATTAAAAGTTTCACTCCTGTACCTGACTCTCCTGCTCAGAACATTTCCCTAGTTCTGTCATCACACTGACATAAAGAATAGTCTAGAGGAAATGTTATGACATCTGAGACTTGCTTCAAAACATTCAGCAGTGAGAGGGGAGAGTGGGTGGGGAAGTAGATGAAATAAAACAGACTATGACTTGATCTCTGAGATCTGTTGGGAGCTGGGCAGGGAGAGTCCTACTTCTGCGTGGTACAGCAACAACCTAGGTTGGTTTGTTCTTTACAGATTTGGGATTATACCTTCTCAAGTTAAATGATGCAATTAAGGGTTTTGAGTCTAAAGGACTCCTGCACAAGCCAGCACTGGGCAACGTGAACGCCCAGAGCTGCCTGACGGCAAATTTGTATTCCTGGCACACGGCAGCACGATGCCCAGCACCCTACTGGCACTTAAACTCTGGCTGCCTGACCAGCATGTTAACCATCCCATCTGCTCAGCTACGGGGATAGACTTTAAAAAGCAAGTTTTGTTATGAAAAAACACTGCATTTTCTAAGCACCAAAATTCTAAGTAATATTTAGGAAAGTGAATCTCTAATAAGTTAAATATCAACACTTTTATTAAACAGTAGCACTTCATCTTGGTGGACCTGAACCTCAGTCTCCACTCATGCACTCCCTTTAGGGCAGCTGGATGCAAGGCTGGAGTTGGAAAACCCGCAGGAGTGCTGTTCTCCTGCTCCCAGCCAGGGACGGCCGACCCTTCAGAGTTCCCTGACAGCACAACAGTCATTTCCACTTCTGCTCAGACGGGAATCTGGGGTTGGGGAAACACGGAATACATGCATCTGTCAGGATAAAGTGACCTGGTCGGCGTGATGCCGACATCTGCAGAGGATCCTCCAAGCCCCGATCTGCTCCACCTGAAGTTCCACGCGCGGCTCCCAGCTCTGTAACTTACCTCCATGTAGCAACTGAGGAGAAGCTGCTGGGGTTCTTTATAAACACCCTTTCGACAACAAGGCACACAGATGTATGTCTGTCTATCTTGTTTTACTGATTTTAAATTCTACCCCCTCTGATGTAGATGCACAAGTGAGATAGGAGTAAATGTGGGGCTCAAATATGTGCCCCCTGCACCAAAATGGGGTGATACGACTTTTTAGCCACTTTATGATTTGCAAGCAACTCAAGGGCCTTTTCATTTTTGTGTCCAACCCCAGCATTGAACACAATGCTTTGCACCCAACAGCTGTTCACGGGGACTGGGAAAGTAGTTCTTAATGGTAACATCTGATTGCTTTAGAGCACCACCAATGCAGCTTTACCCGACTTCACGAAGGTGGGGAAGTGGTATACTGATAAGTTTATGCCCAATAATAATTTTTTAGTGACCTCAGCAGCCTTCTGACTGGCCTTCCTGCCTCCAGGCCCCCTAAACAATACCAACCTGCTTTTACCATGCTGCTCCTTACCCCAGCCTTTAAGATAGCTCAGGTGTTCTGTCCAAAAAGCCTCCCTTTTCTGACAGCCTCTTCCTTTGCTCGCCCAGTGGGGCTGAATCAGCTGTGCCTACTCTACAGCTATGACTCCCTGAGAAATCTGGGCATGGTCCTATCACTGTTCTCAGCACAGGCATTACAATAAACTATAATCACACGTCTATCCTCTCAAGATGGAAAAGATCTCTGAAGACACAAACTCTACCTTAATTATGCTTCTATCAGCAGCATCTGGCTCAGTGCCTGGCACACAGCGAGAGCACAGGAAACGTCACCTGGATGAATAAAGCCCGACTCCCTGTCCTCCCTGTCTTCCTGGAGACTTGCTCTCCTCCTTGGGGGAAATGTTTTCCCAACGTCTAGCTCTCTCTCTCTGCTGACTGGCTCAGCTGGCATGCTTCCTGCACCCAAGACTGCTCCGACGGACCCCAACATCACCCCCACTAGCACATGGATGCCACAATCACCTGGCCTGCGAAAACTACAGACCGTCGTTCATCCTCACAATCACTCAACCTCCTCTGCTCAGCACGCTGGGTAAATGAGATTTTGGCTTGCTACTATGGAGAGGCGAAATACTAAAAAGTAAAAGAGACAAGAATGCGAGGGACGATCCAAGCAAAGTGAAAATTCCTTTAGTTTGAAGACAGTCTGGGCAAGAGTGTGTAGCTGAAGTGGGAAGTAAGTTAGGCAGATCCACGCATGTTTCTGAAGTGCTGCAAAAGTGCTGGTCTATCCCATCCTTCGAATCTTCTGTATATAAAAGTTTCATTTTAGACAGATTTCCCCCCTGCCTTGGGAGGTTTCTAATGTTATAATGAGAGTTAATGGGAAAATACGACTGGTTTTACTGAAATTCACTTTATAATTAATTTTGCTGTAACATTTTTCTACAAAGCTTAGGACACCCATTGAGGGAACACAGCTGTCTTAATCCGTGTTTGAAAGCATCAATCTGACTTACTGGAAGTAAATCTGAAGTGAAAGTTTTCCTTCTGACTTTTCTTCTATGAGGAATTTCTTCCATTTCCTCGTCTTCAATCAGATCATCACCATTAGCACTCTGTAACGCGTCCTCAGTCTCGGCAGCAGTTTTTAACCTCTGAGTCTCGGCCTCCTTCATTCGAATCACCGTCTCACCAGCATCCATTTCCAGAACGTCAGATAAGATCTTCAGTATGGCATTTATTATCTCTGCCTGACTCTTGGATGGAATGATGTCCTTCAGATTCCAAATTGTGCCTGGCGGGGGGTGGGGCAGTGGGTGGGATGAGGATAAAGACAAAGAAATCAACTGTGTGAAATTTTTTATTAAATAACGGTTTCCACAAGATTGGTTCTTTAAGCTCAGGCATAATTTCAAAAAAATAATCTCGATCCCACGACCTTTGTTCGGTTTGTATTAAATGTCAAAAAGCTCTGTACAGAGGCAGCTCCCTTTATTACAGTCCTTCACCACCATCTCCCTTTCCTGGCACACAATGCCTTTCTCTGACACACCACAGAGTAACAGGCCAAGAGAACATCGATCGAGTTTCTTTTAAAATGACAAATTAAGTTGCCTCTCTTTCTTTCATCTTAACCTGAGCTGCTCTCCTAAGCAGCTTCTTATGTTCCAAGAATGGAATGGAATGTACTAAAATTCCAAGGTCTCACAGACAAACCAGAGAACAGGGTCTTGGTTATTTTTTGCTTATAAAATAGAGCAACAGCTACCATTAAGTGGTTAGACTTAAATTAAACAAACAAACAAATGTGACTGTTGAAATAAAAATAGTTCCTGGGTACATATCCAAAAGAATTGAAAAAAGCAAGGACTCAGACAGATGCTTGCAGACCCATATTCACAGCAGCATTATTCAACAGCCAAAAGGTGGAAACAACCCAAGTGTCCATCCACAGATGAACAAAATGCCATATACACACATAGTGGAGTATTACTCATCCTTCAAAAAGAGGAAATTCTGACACATGCTACAACATAGATGAACCTTGAGGCCATCATGCTAAGTGAAATAAGCCAGTCACAAAAAAAAAGATACTGTATGATTCCACTGATATGAAATATCTAGGCAAATTCATACAGAGAGAAAGAAGAGTGGTTGCCAGGGCCTGGGGAGGAGAGGAAATGGGGAGCTGTTTAATGTCTACAGAGTTTCAGTCTTGCAAGATGAAAAGTGTTCTGCAGACTGGTTATACAGCAATGTGAATGTACTTTACACTTAAAAATGGTTAAGGTGGTAAATTTTATGTATATTTTACCAATTAAAAAAATCCCACGTATCAAGGTAAATTACCTTTGCAAGACTAAAAAGCAAAAGGAAAAATATATAATAAATTCCCTACTACTCGACAGATCATCAGAGTATTTCTTACTTCTGTATTTAGAAATTCTGGGGAGAAGCGCTGGGGCTGAAGATCTTACAGAAAAGTGAGTGGTCATGTCTTAGATGCCTACAGTTAACTTCTGAATTCCCAGGTTCATATATAAGAGGGGGTCCTGACAAAAGCATTTCTTTATCAGACAACAGCAGTTCATTAAATTAAAAACAAATCTAAACTCAGAAGGCTTTGAAACTATGGAGAATCATTTAAATTAAAGGATTCCACTTAAATATTACAATTTTCAGAACAGACATAAGCACAGAAAGCCCTGATGCAGTGAAATGAAGGGATGACTGAATTTTGGCCCCCATCTCTACCTATTACAAGTTACTAAAAAAAAGCACACCATCGCATACAGCTAAATTTTACCTGCTATCAATGTCTTTAATAGAATATACTCCATGGAACTGACAGGAGAAAGCATTGCTGATTCCAGCACATGCAATGCTGGGGCACAGAAAGATTTCAGTAGCTCTGCATTATCTTCGGTCACTGTCTGCAAACAATATGCTATAAAGACAAAAGTCAAATATTAAGAAGCAAATGAATTCAGCGAGGATAATTTAAATCAAAATAACTCATCAAAAAACATTTGTATCTTTACAACTTCTTTGGACATGGGTAGCTTTTGTAGGATATATGCAATTTACCTTCTTTTTCTGAATTTCTTATCCTTTTTTCCTTTTCTTTTTCTCAATTTTTAATCCTTTACAGAATTATACTTTCATAAAAAAAAAATTTATTTTGGGGGTTTTCCCCCCAGTTCTTTCCTTCTTTTTTATTATAGTCAGTTACAATGTGTCAATTTCTGGTGTACAGCATAATGTCCCAGTCATGCATATATATACATATATTCGTTTTCATATTCTTTTTCATTAAAGGTTATTACAAGATATTGAATATAGTTCCCTGTGCTATGCAGAATAAATCTGTTTTATAAAGTATAATTTAGAAGGCTCAACTGTTGTAACAATGTGAAATTACTAAAAACATTTATAAAGGTTTAGTCTCAATGTCTATACTCATTGCAGACCAGTAGCAAACAGCCTGCAGACTAAACACCAGTAAACGGATAGCGCTCTCAGGGTAGTTCTCTTGTCGATGACAAGCCCTAGGTTTTGGGACATTCTGGCTTCTCTGAAATTCAGTATGACCTTAAAAGTCAGGGTTATTTCTGTGGTGACAATATTTCTCTAAAGAAAAAAAGTACTTTACATAAAAATAAGAGCAAATTAAGAGATGGGTAAAATATTAACAGACATATGATTCATTTAGCACTTAACTCTTCTCTGGCACTAAAACAAGACAATGGATTACAACTTGTATATTAGAAATAATTAAGTGAAAGTATTAAAACAACTGGGATTGCATGAAGTTTGACAGAAAAGACCTCTGAAACACAAAAGAGGAAGCAAACCTAAATTTGTTTTGAGATATTATATTCCATACAAATCCATTCCTTTTCAGGTCTAAAAATTCCAAAGTGGATCATTTCCATTCAAATTACTAGTCAAAATACAAGCTATTGCTGTGATCTAGTTTGGTTTCCAAAATACATGTATATACAAATCTGTATCTATGCATACACATAGATACATCCAAATGTAATACTTTTTTCATTGAGAATAATTAAATTCACTTTAGCAAAAAGCCAAAATAAGTTGTAAATGCTAACATAACACAAGTTCAAAGAAAACTGTATCAATACAAAGGACGGAATCCTAGAGGCTCACTTTACTGTGATGCAAGCCTTGTTTGATTTTCAAAACAAAAGTTATCTGATGTTTGTTTTAAAAAAAATCACAAATCTAGCTAAATGCAGAAGGAAAACACTATTATACAGTGCAAAGTGACTTTATTCTGGTTCATTTTTTTTAAAGTTCTTTAGAAAAAAAAACTAAATGACCAAACCTATCAAGCTTAAAACCCAAAAATAGAAGTGAAGTTTTTCTTTTAAAAGCTACAAACTTTCTCGAAATTCTCTTACTGTAATAAAAACTGCCCTCTGAGATTAAAAGTCACCTACCAATTTTCTAGTTCAACTGTTTTTAAAATCCACATTTACCCACAAATCTCCCCTCTGCCAAAGATTCCTTTCTGAGAAATTGATTTTTTAAAAATTTTCCTAGTGGTATTTATTTCACTATTAGTTTTTCTTTTCTGTTGTTAAAGGTAACCACTAGAACCAACAGAAACATCGGTAAAGGGAATACACTTCAGTAAGGGGAATAAACTTGTCTTTGCCAGGAGAAATGCATAGTGAAATAATTTAAGGACAGCCAGATACCTATCATCATGATGGGCAGAAGAAAAATGCTTTTCATCCCTTATTTCTCCACTCTCCCCCAGAGTTCTGTTGAGCCACCCTACCTCCAGTTTCCGTCACCTGCCCCTGCTGAGCAGGAGGGACCCCAGCGGCTCTCTAACCCCATGCACAGAAGGTGAGGGAGCTGAGGCAGCGGGAGCCGCTGGACTTTGCTTTCCCTGTCCGGAAGGGAAGCAGGCCTACATGAAATTCCAATCACTTATTTTCCTCTCTCAAAAAAAGCAATGAGTTAAAAACAAACAAACAAACAAAAAACACAGGTTATCGAAAGTTTTCTGCTGGAAGCATGAGATAGTGGTAGAAGCCATTTAAATAAGTCTACGTTCCAAATAACGTTGGCTCAAAGGCCTGGTAGTTGTGGGTTACTGTTTCTCAGCAAATGGGAGGTGAAAGCTTTAAGAACTAACAAAGGCTTCTAAGAATGGTGACACACTAGAAACTACATACGCTCACATAATTACCTTCCTCCCTCTAGAAAATTGTATGAGTAAGTAAAGCATTAATCACAGCTTTTAAAAGATTCAGAACAAACACCACTCAGCTAAGCATTTATATACAATGAGGGGGGGAAAAATCACTCCTGTAGAATAAACATGCTATGTCTGAATAAAAAATTTTGAATAAGGTCACACATACTTAATAAATCATCACCTTTTCTTCACTTACCTACTGAAATAGCCAGGTCAACATTGGTGGAAAACCTACTTAAATACTTTAACACAATCTCCAAACACCCTTCTTTGTTGAATATAGATACTGCTCTACTACTGCATTCACTAAATTGAAGGGGGAAAAAAAAGTTTTACTAGTCACATTTTAACATTAAGAAATCAACCACAGAAATTCATGAAAAAATAATTAGGCTTTATAAAAGAACCAACGAGTTGGAGTTCCACACACCCGCCATTTTTACAGATGAAGAAACCAGTACTCGCTCACACTCACTAAATATGAGCACAACTGGATATCTGTATTTTTATTTCCATCACAGTAGGATCTTCTAGCCAGTCTCTTTACCCGCATGCCCGTTTCCTTATAGGAGGTTAAAGATGGAAGAGATCTTCGAAATCATTTACTTCAATTCCTCATTTTATGGATGAGAAAGCCCAGACCCCAATAGGTGAAGTGATCTGTCCAAAGATCACACATTGTGGTAGCGCTGAGTTCTTGGGTCCAGCTGACTAGTCTTTTCACTATATCACAATATATCACAGTAGCAATAAATCAAAGGATAAAGGGCCTCTATACTTATCACACAAAAAGCACAAATTTAAAAGAAAGTAAAATTAAATTTGATTTTTTCCTCCTAGACTGCTATAATTTTAGCAAGCAGAATTTGTAGCCTGCAACAGAGAAATTGCTACAATAAATTTTTTTGAAATTATACTACCTTTTAATAAAAGAGTCAGAATTAATGCCATTAATGTTATTAACAAATATATATGCTAAGTATAGGGTAAAGAGAGCTAATTATAATAATTTTATTTATGTTCCCAGGAAGAGTATTCCTCCAGACATGCCATGTGTACATATGACAAACAGCTAACAGAGTTGACTAAATTATTACATTCAATCCTGTTGTCTAAAGATAAACTATTTTCTGCCTGTCTATCCATCCATCCTTTCACCCACCCAGTTACTGCAACATGCGATGAGCCTATCCTCCAGAAACCCACTGTAAAACGTGAGTTGTAATAAATAAATTAAAAAAAGAAGAAGAAGAAGAAGCCCACAGTAAAGTCAAGTAGAGTCAGGAAAACAAAGCATACATGTGTTAAGACAATATAATATGTACATATAAGATACAAGCTATGAGACAAAAATGTTAAAAGCTATGATAACTGGAAATGATATAGACAGGGCTCACAGGCACTCAGAAAAGAGAGATCACTGCAGAGATCACTTTTTCAGGCTCTTTTCAAACCAAAAAAAAAGGTTTTTTTTTTTAAATTTCCAAGTTCAACAGTTTATATAAGTTAAAGTTATCTGAAAAATAGCACCCATTAGTTCGCTTGAATGCAATTTCCTCAAATCTGACCACTCCAGTTTTCCTGGCGGAATGCATCCAGCAGTTTAAGGTGGAATCGCGGGCAAGCTCAGACTGCTGTGCAGGCAGCTCTCCAGGATCCACCCTAACCCTCTATTCTAAGAAATAACTGAGCTCTTAGGTCAGAAATAATAGTTGCTGCTGACTGAAAATAAGAATCCATGACAGATTCTTGCTAGAAACGGGACATAAAATGGGGTGTAAAAAAAAAAAAATCCAGCTTGTACTTCTAGCCATTTCCATTCCTAAAAGCAAGTCCACCCACTGCCCCAACCCCACCACTGCTACAACGGTGGCATGGAGCGTGGCCTTTGTCCCAGTGGGGCAAAAGAAGCCCTTCTCAGGCGACTACTTCTCTGTCAAATGGCACCTCCCAGGGCAGAGAAGTAAAGCCCCTGCCAAGGTCTGTGGTCCCCGCCTCATTCCAGAAGGCAGACCAAAGCATCTATTGCACTGGGGCCTGGCCCGCTTTAGGGCAACGGCTGCTTAAAGTACAAAGGCAGTGGGTGTAGTAGGTACTAATGGCCAGGATTCCTCTTATTTTTGTCAACAGCAATGCCTGGAGAGAAGAGTTGTAAAGCAAAAAAAAAAAAAAAAAAAAAGACGTAGTGATGCTATGAGGAAAAGGGCTTGGGAAGGACGGCTGATCTTAGCTCACTTGATATGACCTCCTACCAAGCATTATGATGACAGATTTATAGGCCTACCAAGGAGAATGGAGATTCCTCTGCAGTTTAACAGAGAGCATTAGCCTAAGTAGCACTGTAGCAGGAGGCTATGTTTGGAAAGCATCTTACCATATATTCCACAGCACGTTCACGGCCTCATTGGCTATGTTTTCAATAGAATTTCTGTTCTGCTCTTTTTTTTCCTGTGGAGACATCTCATTTGAATCCAGTCCAGCACTACACTGTAACCAAATACCATGATTAGCACCCTGGTTCAAAAGAATAATTAAACAGGCTAATGACAGTGAAGAATCACAAAAACTAAACATCAGAAATAATAGTGGTTAACAAGCCAATCAAATGCTCGTAAGCGGTATGGTTCCCATAACCCTGCTCCTTTTTGGCAAGAAATAAGAACAAGAAAGGTTTGCAAGTCATTGTACAAACTGGATACAAAGCATTACACGTTTTAAATGAAAATGTAAAATCAATACAAAGTATTTCATCTAACATGATAAAGATACTATGTAAGACAAAGAAAGGTAATACATTGTAAAGGCTGACATCCACATAGTACCTCTATGCACAAGGCACTATTCCAAGCACTTTATGTATATTAAGTCATTTAATCCTCACCACAAACCTATGAAGTAGATGATTATCTCCAATCTCCTGCTACAAATAGGAAACTGAAGTAGAGAGCTTGCTGAAGGTGCAGCTTAGTATATAGTGAAGTGCAATTCAGATCCAGGCAGTTGGCTCTGAAGTGGGTGCTCTGAACCACTCCACAGACTGCCCCTCTCCTATAATCCACCCTCTTAAGTAGGCTTTTCAGTCTTGGCACTAATGACGTTTGGGACCAGATGATTCTTTGCTGTGACAAACGTGGCTGTCGTGCGCATTGTAGGACTTTTAGTAACATCTAGTGGGTAGATGCCAGTAGCAACCCCTACCCCCAAGCTGTGACAATCAAAAATGGCTCCAGACATCGCCAAATGCCCCCTTCTGGGGCACAGCACCCCTAGGAGAACTGCTGTTCTAAGGGAAACAGACTGATGCCTCTCATCAAAATCGGATATTCTTTATATAGCCTTAAGTGAAAATTACCCATCAATACAGAAGAGTGGACCAGAGTCATGACGGAGAGAGAGCTCTCTGATCCCCGAACTATATCATGCAATAAAGGTGGAGTATTAAATTTGCAAGTTTAATCTAATTGTCGGGGCAAATTCCTAATGTCTGTGCTCCAGTCTCCTCATCTGTAAAACAGGAATAACAATACCTGACAAATAGGACTGCTGTGGTGATTAAATAAATTAATACACAAGACAGCACCTGGGACATAAGTAAGCAACCAATAAATACAAATTATTTTTACGGTATGAAATTTAAAGTACAATGGAGTCAGTCTATAGTTTTAGGAAGGTCTTTTCCAACAAGCATATGAATAAAGGTAGTGGGTACACACTAGAGACTAGCATCAGTGATGAGAGATCAGTGTTTCCAGGAAAAGAAATAAAACTCCTGAAGAATGTTTCGAGGGAAGACAAAATAACTAACATCAAAGTACTTAAAAGCAAAACTATCTAAGTTTGTATACTAAAAGCGACACGTGAAAGCGGCATACCTCTTTTAGCAGTGCGACCAAAGGAGTCATGATATCCTTAGTCACCATGTCATCACAGACTTCAAAACCTCCACAAGCACTGAGATTTCTACACGAGAAGTTTAAAAGAGGTTTTACTTTCAGATTACATGTCACAAGACATACTAAGCACTCAAATATATTTATGTTTCTACCCACACCCAAGATTTCCTGAACGAAATTGCTTGTGACTCCTGAAAGATGCTGCAGAACCAATCCACAGATCTCCATCTGTTCTGATCCGTGTCCTACATGATGCAAATAAATGATCTGATCACATAACAACTTAGTTCTCAGGTCTGAGATGGTACACACGGAAAGCAAGACTTTTCCTATTTAATGTGAATAATAAATCACTGCCTGATCTTATACGAAAGGAATTTTCTTGGAATCAAGACTTCAAGGGTAGGAAAGGTGAGGCTACTGAAAATGACATTTCCTGAAGCAATCTTGACTAAATTTAATTTTAACTGGAAAGACACTGCCTGCCTTCTGAGAGCACAGCACAGTGCTAGGCACTGAGGATATGAAGATAAATGAGAAGCCACTCCACCATTTCCCGGGAGCTACCAGTGTGTGTAGGAAGGGGAAGGGTAGGACTTTCCACACCGTTTCCTCCACCAACTGGATAATCTCCACTCATTCCCTGGATCTCATCTCAAACATCATGCCCTTAGGGTTTTCTTCCCTGAACCCCCAGTAATACCCTCTCATGGCATCCTTTGTAAATATCATTGGTTGTCATTACACACTTGATTATTTGCATCATGTCTGTCTCCCTAGATACTGTAAGATCCATAAAGAACAGAAATTATCTGTCTTGCTCACTCCCACGTGCCCACAGTCTAGCCACACTGCCTGGTGCACAGCAGGCACTCAATATATACTTGCTAAATCAGTGAGTGAAAGAGAATAAACATAGACAGAGCTATGAGAACAAATACTAACTTTACTCTTGCCCCCTCTACAGTCCATTCTCTGCACAGCTACCAGAGTGGCGTTTTGAAAAGGTAAATTAGACCATGTCACTCCCACTTAGAACGGGTCCTTTAGCTCCACACCACGGAGTCCTTGTCCATCTCCCCATCCTCAGCTCCCATAATGCTGCTCTCTGCTTTACTCAGCCACGTAATCTTTTGGTTCTTTAACCACACCAAGCCCTCTGCTGTTGCTATTCCCTCTGTCAGGAATGCTCTCTCCCCCGTTTGTCCTCTGCTGGCTCTAGCATCCAACAGCTCTCAATTCACAAACTTCATCTAGAGATCACCCAATATGAAGTAACTTCCCACCCCCAACTCATCATCCTCTCAGCTTCTCCAAGCACTTCTTACAACTTAATATTATGTTTCACCTGTTTAACTAATTCCTGTCTGTCTCTGCATCAGCATGGGTTCTGTGAAGGCAGGGATCTTGGCTGTATTAAGGTCCTGCCTGCTCAAAATCCCCTGCACCTAGAAGACCTGGCACATATACTGGAAGAGTTCCTTGAGCCTCAGGACCTTATGAAGGGTTCTCGAAGTGGGTACAACGTGCGCTAGGCCTTGAGGGGAGGACGCTTGGCAGGTGGCTTCTGCAGGTGAAGCAGCAAGGCGGACAGACGGAATGCATGTGGTCTGGGGGTCATGGGGACCTCCGGAGTCTGGAGCCTGGGTTCAAATCCCCCCTCTGCAAATGGGAGAGCCTGGGCAGTTCTTGGGTCTCCCGAGGTGCCGCAGACAAGTGCACTGAGGATGAAACCGATTAGAGACGGTACGTGACACACAGAAGGCGCCGGCTGAACGCCGTGCGGCCC